TTTCCCTTTCTTCTCCCTTCTATAGTTGTGTTATTTCTACTCTGTCAAAACAATATTTACACATTAGTTTCTACTGTCATCCTCACATTTCTTTTGTCTTAAATGTCCATTCATATATTCCACAATGCTCATTGGCATTTCTTTGGTTGAAATTTTCCCAGTCATCTCTTGGTTGGATGAAATTATTCTCTAGTAGATGTTTCGAGAAAGGCTTATAGGTGGAGAAATTCTTCAGCTTTTGTATGTTCAAATTGTTTTTCCTGGATATTTGAAGGAAAATATGTCTGGATATAAAATCCTTGGTTTATTCTTTCTTCCATTGAGCTTAAACCCCACTACTCTGTTTTTGCTTTGTATTGTATGTGGAATTTGATAAGTCTAATGTAAGTTAAATTTTTTCCTTTTGTATGGTATTTGGCCATTTTGCTTGGAGACCTGGAGTTATTGTATCTTCGAAATCTAATAGCTTTCCTAGGGTATTTCTTGTAGTTGATTATTCTGGCTTAATTTCCCCAGGTTCCCATTGGCTCTTTCAATGTGTAGATTCAGACCTTTTTCTGTTTCTGGTTTTATTGGATTATAAATTTAACAGTGATTTTGGATGGGCCTTAGACCCTTTTGCTAGCTTCCTTCGTCTATCCTCCCTGGGCCCTGAAGTTTTTTTTCAATCTGCTTTTGAAAAAATACCACCAAGCCTGGGTTGGGGGTTATGGTGTCCGTGAGGACATGGCGAGAGCAAGAGCAAGTGGAGCTGACACCGTGGGATTTGGTGATTTTTCTCTTTCTACTTACAGTTATTTTGAAGTTTGGGTTGTCCTCATCTTCAAGTTAAGCTGTGGGCGTGGTTTCCCCGTAAATTTATTTTTCTCTTCTTATTCTTTTCTGATGTTGGAAAACAGATTGAGAGATGTGGAGCTAGGCCATCACTGATATCTTGAGCTACTCAGAAGTTGTGGTAGGAAACTTTTTAACCTCAACGAAACAATACTGTCTTTCGCCTTTTTCTTTTAAATTAAGGTACATTTCACAAAACATAAAATTAACCATTAGCCATTTTAAAGTGTACAATTCAGTGGCAGTTAGCACAATCAAAATGTTGTGCAACCACCACCACCATCTAGTTCCAAAAAACATTTTCATCACTCCAGAAGGAAGCCTCATGCCCGCTGGACCATCATTCCCTGTTCTCTCCTCCCGCCAGCTCCGGGCAGCCACTGGTCTGCTTTCTGTTCTATAGATCTACCTATTCTAAAGCTGTCATATAAATGGCGTCATATAATATGTGGCTATTTGTATCTGGCTTCTTTCATGTAGCAAAATATTTTCAAGGTTCATCCTAGTTGTAGCACGCATCAGTACCCCTTTTTATGAGTGAATAATATTCTACTGTATGCATATGCATTTGTTATCCATTCCTTAGTTAAGGCACATTTGAGTTGTTTCTGCTTTTCGGCTATTGTGAATAGTATTGCCATGAATATTCAGGTATGAGAATTTGTTTAAATACCTGTTTTCAGTTCTTTTGGGTATATACTTAGATGGACTTGCTGAGTCCTGTGGTAATACTGTGTTTAACTTTTTGAGGAACGGTCAAACTGTCTTCTACTGTTTATGATTTTATGTTCCCACCGACAGTGTGCTATGGTTCCAAATTCTCTACATCTTGAACAACACTTGTTATTTTTCAGTTTTTACAATTACACCTATCTCCCCCTCTTGCTTTCATAAGTATATTTGTTAAATCTAAGGACAATAATAGCCTTATGTTATTTCAAATACTGGTTTCTAAATGATGACTTTTCCCCTGGTATTTTTTAAGTATAGGATCAACTCCTTAATGAATAGAATTTCTGTTGGAAGTTTTGGCCATCATGATGTTAATGATAACCTGGGGCAGCATTGTTTGAGAGTAGCTTGGAGAGGATTCTAATCCGCATGGATTGTAGTAGACTTATTATGTATGTATTTAAAAAGCGTTTGATCATGGGTATATTTTGTAAGATTAACCTCTTGGTAGATTTTTCTTTTTTTCAAATAAAAACAGTGTCACTATGATCTGTGACACCTATTGATGATTTTCTTAACCATTTCTTCAAATACTAGATTTGCTTTAGTTTTCATTTTGTGATCAAAGGACTTTTTACAGTGAGAAAATATTACATTAATCTTTCCTTGTATGATGTGCATTTATTTTTCAGGTACCAAAGACACTGGGATTATTAAGGATGTTAAGTGCCAAGTTTTACAGTCGCCCAGGACAAGAACAGGTAACTCGGAAGCTTAACCTTGTGCTTCTCAAATATTTTCACCAGGGTACCTTTAAGGGCCGAGTCAAATGAGCCTTGAGTGTTACAGATTTCATCTGGATATGTTCTTAATTGTACACAATGTGGGCATATGCGTTACTAAGACTTCCTGGACTCTTTTGGGTCTCCTCCAGTTTCTGCCTCTGTAAACGCTGGAGGAGGGGTGGAGAGATCTTTTAGCTCATAAACACCTGTCCTACTGAGGCTCACCTTATGCCAAACCACAGAGCGTATTGACGCTAGAGTTGTGGCAGGAAACTGCCAGGTCCTGCATCTCCTGCCCCTGTCTCCATCACAGGGAAGGGATGTTTTGCTCGAAGTGCTTTTACTTTTGTTGCTTCTCTTTCCTAGGTCCCGGGCATTTGTATTTTAATCTTACATTTAATTCTGGCATTCTGGGTCAGACTTGTTATCTCCGATCCAGTTAAGGTGATTAGTCCTCAGAGAGATTAGAGGATGTCAATGTTTTCATCTATCCACTCATCCAACAGTGTTCCTCACTTCCTGAAATTGTTCTATTTTTGGTGGCTTATGTGCCTTAGTCACTTTGACATGAGGACTAAAACTCTAATGACTGCATAGGCCAGGTATCTAACATGGTGAACTGAGCCAGGTGTCAATTCTGGACTTTTGCTATAGTCATGTTAAGTTTTCAGTTCTGTAGTGATGGTTGGCCTCAATCTTGGGGCCATAATGGAGAATGGTGGGTGCGTTGGCTAGGTGGAAAGCTTCTAAGGGTGACTATCGTACCTAGTCCCCCTTGATTATTGCCATCTGGGGATGGTGGCCCCTGTTTTGCCAGATTTTCTAAAAGTTTAGGGGAAATAAGGTTCCGGGCTACTATTTTCAGGTCTCTGTTTTATTCTTTGTGGTTCAACTTTCTTAGAGCCTGGCCTTAACAAATGCTTGGATGATAAGTAGTCCAGGTAGTGTTTGTTTGATTCTTCTGGCTCTGTTGTGGGTGGTAGGCAGGTGATGTCTCTGCTCATTTGGTTTCCCTCACTTTGGTAATGAAGCAAAGCTGGTGTTCTCATAGGAAAGGACAGAGGATTATTTGGGTAGGTAGGCCTCGAAAAACAAGAGTGTTCTCTGTATACCCTCAGGTCGGCCCTATAAAATCAGTGGATTAGAGAGTTTTTCTCCTCCTCAGCAACAATTAGATTCCTTAAATTGGATAATTTTCCAGCAAATCTGGACTGTCCTAAATATTCATAGCGTTCCGTAAGTTAGGGACTGCATTTTTTCCCCCTTCCTGCCTTCTGTTCTCATCAGCCTTGGATCCTCTTTTCTTCCATCTCTCTCTCTTTCTCCTTCTCCCTATCCTTCTCATTCACAGCATGAGGTTGTGACCTGTCTGTGATGTTTAGACTATTATAGACATTGTGTACAGAATCTTATAAAGATACGGACCCCAAATTCAAGAAAATCTACTCAACATTAACCCATAAAAGTTATTGAAAACTCATGTTAATTGATGTGTGATAGAAGGGAATATTTTCATAATGCTCTCATACTTGGGTTTATTTATAAATTATAACACTATAACACAGATTTCAAACATCTCCTTAAGGGTGAGTCCTGTCTCTGTATGCTGGAGTGCATTCATAGCGGTAGGAGCGGTTGGAACCATTAAATACGAGAGGCCATTTACAGTGTTGTTAATTTCTGGAGAGTATTTCTGTTCAGCGTCATTCCCTCGCCCTGACATTAATGTCATGTAATTATTGTGTAGGACGGGATCTTTAGGATGAGCCTTTCTCCAGATGGTTCCCTCCTTGCAGCCATTCACTTCTCTGGGAAGCTGAGCATCTGGGCCATTCCATCTCTGAAGCAGCAAGGGGAATGGCATCAAAACGAGCAGGTATGTCTCTTCTTTACGATTATTCTTAGAATGATTCTCACTTAAAGGCGAGTACTGACAATACTAATTTTATTTTGTCGATATTTTACAGATATTATTTATCATCATTCCAGAACTTTAGTTCAATTCTAATATCGTCAGTGTAGCAGAACAGATTAAGAATAGAGTAGCGCTGTGTACTGATTTTAATTTGTAGTGTAACATAACTGTGTGTACTGAGTGTAATCTGTTTGTCGAATCCTCCATTTTCCCCCTTTTTTCATTCCAAAAATACAGAATGGAGATGTTAGTTTTTCAGCAAAAGTCAACAGACACGATCTAGACTCTGGAGAGTCAGTATCTAAAAGGCTTACAAAGCTTCCCCAATTCTGCAATGCCAGCATTACTGGGCTTCCTTCAGCCTTGAAGAGAGTTACCGTCTCTTTACTCCAAAGGTAGATAGTGACGATATAGAAAAAGATAGAACTGCCTTTTTTTTTTTTTTAATGTCTTGCAACGACAAGTTTTAAGAATTAAATAATTTAGTTGTTTATAAACAGAATCAACATCTGTTATAATTTAATATCATGATGGGCATGTAAGGTCTGCTCGTATAATGCCGTATGTTGTGATAGGTTGAAGATTTAAAGAAAAATCTTCTCAATTACATAGAGCTTATGTTATAACTCTTTTACTCTTCTGATGGTTATTTTGCATTCAGAACTTTAAGGATTAATTTCCTTTTGTCACTTCCCTATTGCCCTTTTCCTGTAGAAATACCTTGTCATCAGCTTTGGTGGATAGTTTTGTAATTCTAAGACTGGAGCATGTTCCCTGAATGATCTGAATGGATGTTTTCTGTCAGAATTCTTTTAAATTTCATTTCATCAAGTTAAATTGCACTATTAAAAGAATTCTTAATAAGCAAACAGCATTTTTTTTTTTTTTTTTTCAGAATAGCAGAGGCAAAGAGAAAAGTAGATCTACATTTTCTTACTCTTTTTCATAGTCTTAAATTTTATTTGTTTTGTCTATTCTTCAATATCTTAAAATCACTTTAGGAAGGTTTTTTTTTCTCATCTTAATTGACACTCACCTTCAATTTCATTTGGTCTCCACATCTCTACCACCTCTCCCACTTACTGGGTCTAGATTTGTTCTAAACAGAAGAGGTGCTTGCTCAGTCTTCGCCCTCAGTAGCTACATACAAGGGACATTTTCTCTCCTGAAATTACAGCTATCTTGACTTAGATCTTCACTCTAGAAGTAGAGTGGATCAGCTCTCAAAACTATTGAAACAGACTCACGGACATGGATAGACTAGTGGTTACCAGAGAGTGGGGGGTAAGAGGAGAAGTAGGGAAAAAAACCCAAAAATGTTAACATATTTTAGCTAGGCATGTCAGATAATTGATCCAGAAGGTGCCCTGCATTTTACATGGTTATCAATGTATTGTGATAAAATATTCAGCTTTTATCACTCGAGAAGATCCTGATGTTCTGTTATAGTGGGAAATTTTACATTTGGGCAAATTATTTTCATTCACCTAATTGAAGTAGTAATTGAGTTTTGAAGCACTTACTATTTTATCTTGTGAATAGCCTAGAATGTCACACTAAAGCCTATTCATGCAAAATCCATTCATATGCTTTTTTTGTTTACTGAAATTCTGGATACCCTCCTCCCCCCCCACCCCCGCAACGATAAATGGCATCTGTTGTAGTCCTTTTTAACTGGTTAGACATATTTTTGTCTTAGTTGCCAATCAGTGTCATTATATGTTATTCATTAATTAGAAATTTATAGTGATCCTATTAAAAGAATTTAAAACTCGGTTAAAAACCTTCCTACTGGGGAATGGATAAGTATAAATATTTCATTAATTTGGACTAGGTCATCAGCAAAGTAATGGGGTAGGGAGAAAAAGGGAATTCGCAAATAGCAAGAGAGGTGCATGGTGGGAAGAGATGAATTCAGGCCAGAAGGTTGTCTCCTGTGTGCTCTAGTGAGAGTCTTTTGAACAGAAATACCCCGAGAGGTTAGCAGGGCAGTTCGTTAGGAATTACTGTGGCATGCTTTTTATTGTTGTACCTCAGTGAGCTTCCGTCTCACCCCCGGGGCCTCTGATCCAGTGTCCCCCCCCAGACAGTCTGCAGATAGGCCATTTGGTGATGAAATTTGGTTCTCAAGCTAGTTCTATTTTTTATTACAAATTTACAAAATCTTAGGGTTGTATATCACTTTCTTTGGATTTGGTTGATATAAATTTCCCTTGAATGCCTGAGAAAACTGGAAAAAATAGGTTTTGGGCTCACAGCCCCGAAAACCTGGTAGCCGTCACTAAAGATATTTTGCAGGGAGTAGAATCCTTTGCCAAGGAAACAGTGGCTTAGCGATGGCTAAGGGCCCAATCCTGCCTTGGTTGCCATTCCCTCCATCGCTCAGCGTGCCACCTGATTCCAGAGGTCATCCCATCATGGGAGCAGGGGCTGCAGCCCCTCCCTTCCCTTGCTGCTGCTCAGCACGTGGAAAGACTGTAATAGCTGCATGGAACAGACTGTGCCCTCCGGGATCTCTGCTAATTTTAGCCTCAAAAGGAATTTTTGTCCAAAGTTGAAAACACAGAAGGTGTTTAATTTTATCAATTCTTTTCTTTAAAATTCTAAGGTTACGGTCAAAATGCAAACCCCTTTGTTAACCTGCTATCTTTCCTCTTGTGACCGTTGTACTGCTTGTCTCAGGATTATTCAAGTATGCAGTTGAGCTCAGATTAGATTTTATACCTCTTGGGCTCTGATATCCATGCTCTTTCCATGACCGTTTCAGAAAAGAAATACAGTTTATAAAGGTGGAAAAAGACACTATTTATTAGGCTTTATTTGTTTGATGATCTTTAAAACAACAGGGACAAATCCTTTTTCTCCATGAACGTAACACAGATTTCTTCAGCTCACTCAGATGTGTTGAACTCTTGAGCTAGTTAGTGTATACCGGTACTGGAATAAATAATTGAGACAGCCTGTCATTCGTAAACCCTTAACTTTATAATAAGTATCTACAGTACTTATGTGATGGGACCTGAGGTGAGGGTGGTAACACTTTGTCCGGCAGAAGGAGTTTGAACAACCGTAGTTTCTTGAGTCTTTCACCTATAACCTCTGGGGATCAATTGCAATGGGTTGGGCATTTTTGATTTGGACTTTAATGTATGAACGGAGTCACTAAAATCTGACATGCTAGAATAAGTGCTGTAAAGCTTGTAACAATACTATAAAGAGTAGATTGTTAACTATATTCGTAACAGCCGTAAAATAATAGTGTTCAACTGTTTATTGAATCTCTACCAAATGCTAGAGTAGAAAATGCAATAAGTCACAGTTCTTGCCCTTAAGATGTTCACAGTCTTGCAAAGGAAATTATAAACAAATCCATAAAACATCACGTTAATATTATGAAAAGATCAGCTCAGAGGAAAGACAGATAAATTCAGTTGGTGATGTTAGCGAGGATTGTTGGGAATAAATAGCATTTGTATAGCAAGGCCTGGCTGTCCAACAGAGCAATTTTCATCTATTCTATTTGCTTTACAGCAACCCTCTAAGTAAAAAGTGTGTTTATACTCATTTTAATAGATAGGAATAGTGCTCAAATTGGTTAACATAGGTCATGAAATGTTAGAATCAAGATTCCATTTTGACTCAGATTCTCTGACTTCATAGGTAAGCCTTTCTTTCAGAGTGTCTTCTTACAGTGCTTACATTGAGAAATACTTGTATACTAGCTACGCTCTTAGGCAAATCAGGTACTAGCTATGCTATTTAAAGGGAAACAAGGGCGAGGTAGGCCACGTTGTTTATATGGATGGCACCTCCTGGAGCTGTACACGTCATTGTGGAGACACGGGAAATGAGATATTAATAAGTGAGAAGCATGTCATGTTCTCATCACTGGCTGAAAAACACTTTAAAACACTTAAACAGCTGAACAACACTTAATTAAACAGCTGCTCTTTTCTCATTTGTTTAGCAATAGTCAAGTGACATTGGCTCAGCCAGGTAGGACAGGGCTTTGCGTCTCTTTATGGCTGCTCTAGCAGATTAATGGATAAAGCCTCTTAGTTTAAAATAGATTCGATGATAATGTGTAGCATATAGCCAGAGCTTGTAATTTTAGCTTAAACATTGCCTGAAAAGAAACTAACGTTACCGTTACGGTGTGCAACTTTAAACTCTTTTATCAAGTCGTGGATTCAGCTCAGCTGGGGCTTTCTTCACATAATTTGCTACTTTATTAGTGTTCATAATGTGCTTTGTGTGATTATTTTCTCTCTCAAACCTAATGATTAAAGATAGTCACGGAAGTGCCTGTTCTGATTTACTCCTGTCTAGTTTTGAGTTGATTAAATACTTTGGCTTTTGTTGTCAATGTGAAAATCCATCTGGCTAGAAATCTGTGAGTATTAAGTTCTGTTCATGTCTGGAGTATAGTAAAATTCTAAAGTGATTTTCATTTCAAACAATTCCCATATGTTATGTTTATATATTTACGTCTCATTTTTGGTCTTAATTTTTCTCTGAAGAAGTTTTGTTACTTGCGTATTTGTACTTCCTTGGATGTAGTAGACAGAAAACTTATCTTTTCCCTTTTTATTTTATTTTCTTTGACCCGTAGTAGATATGGACTAATTTTGATGAATGAATGAGTCAATGAAGGATAAGGGAGAAGATGACAGTTCGTGTGATTAATCTCGATACAATCCAAAGTTATTTCCACAACTTTACTGGACTGTGAGCTCCTTGAGAACAGGCACTGAATATGCATTTCTTCCGTGGGCTCTGACATAGGGCTTGGCATATTAAATACTAATAAATGCTTGTGGAGTAAATAAACTTTTGAAAGTTTTGAAAGATTACTTTTAGGTCATCAGAGGAAGGGGCCCATTATATTTAGCTTCTAGCCATTAAAAAAAAATGGACACATCCTTAAATCTGGATAATGTTGGTTTAGCCATAATAGGCTTTCTGTACCAAATCTGTAAGTGTAGGAAGACTAGTACTATGTAAGCTAATTTTCCTATAGCATAGACATTTTAATTAGGGCTCAGTGATTTACATGACAGGTTAATTCATTCACTCATTCACTGTTTAGCTATCGTGACATGCGGTCACTATAATGGATCTAGATGCAGAAGAAAAGTCTTCACCTTGTGTTTAAAATTGAATTTGCAAGAGACACCCATTATTTAAGCAATCTGCAGGGAGCAGTCTAGTCCCAAAGTGCCCGGAGACTGGCTCTCAGTGTTTGTTCATCATGTGCTTTCTCATCATTGACTTTGATTAAGACAAGCACGCTTTGAATTCTCAAAGTACTTATGCCAATGAGATGATTTCTTTAAAATACTTTCTCAAGTTTTGTGCGTGCGTGTGTGTGTGTGTGTGTGTGTGTGTGTTATTTCATTGTGATTTGTATACCTCCTTAAATTTACCCAAGGCTGAGTCATGATTATTGTTGTTTGCTGGGCTTAACGTTTAAAAGTGTCATTTTCTACTCCTCTTGTGTACTCCAGAATGTAAGTTGGGAGACACACGTGTCATCATGTAAATAAATGGCAGTGAGCGTATGGTGCCGTTGGAGCATGCACAGCTGGTGATTTGGAAGCACTGAAAACTTCTAAAGTTCCTTATAAATGATCAAATAAGATTTCATTATAATTGGTTATTTTCAATAATACATATCTTATTGTATTCTACAACTTTGAAACGTAATCATCCTTTTATGATTAAGTCAACCGGGACAATCTGTTTCTTCCCGTAGCATATAAATAGCCTTTTATGATAACTTTTTTTTTTTGGATAAAGTTTAAAGAATTATATATTTTGTCTTCAGAGACTACTCTGAGTGACTTATAGTAGTAGAGAGCGGGAAGTTCTTTCAGGCCATGGAAAGAAATATCAATTTTAATAATCTGAAGTCTTAGCCACTGATAAATTGGTATTTGATGCAAAAGATGCATTTGACTTAAGTATAGCATCACTTGTTTTAGGCTTAAGATTTCTGATAAACACCTAAATGGTTTTTTTTTGTTTGTTTTTTTGTTTTCCATACTATTGTAATTCTGAAGATTAATTAACAGTGAGCCAAGAGGGTGTCTGGCGGTGGCTTAATCTCGATTGTTTTATAATACTTCAGAAATAATGATGTGTCATTACATTCTCAAAGTTGGGCATGACATTAGGTTGCCATGAGATTAGAGTACGAATGGATTCCATTCGAGGATTGCACGGTTATATTTTTTCACTTAGTAAATTTTTAGTCATAGAAAGAAAGTTAGGCTGTGGATTTCAGTTTCAGAGCCATGGACACCCAGGCCTGGGGGGCTTGCTTGGTTTATAAGTGGTAGGAGCAGGACTTGGGTCCAGGTTGCTGTTTACTCACAATAGCAGTCTTCTGCCAGTCTGTAAGTATGTGAGAGTGTAGCATTAATTGTTGCTTTCATTTGTATTCATTGTATACTCATTATTCTTATTATCGTAGACATCTTCTTTGTATGCATGCTGTTTTCATCAAATCGAGCCCCAGTCCTTACATGTGCACATTTTAACTCCAAGAATAATTGCTTTTCAAGGTTATGAAGAGAAGTAGATTTCAACTAGGTGTAACTAAGATCAAAGGAAGCATCATCTCTATATTTTGTTAATAAAAAAGTCCATAATTCTTGATGATGCTCTCATAATTTTCTTATATTTTAAAGGAAGCATCATCTCTATATTTTGTTAATAAAAAGTCCATAATTCTTGATGATGTTCTCATAATTTTCTTATATTTTTGACTCAGTTCATGTGTTTGTTTTTCACACTTAGCCAGGCTTTGATGACCTTAATCCTGCTTGGAGACTCTCTGCTGAAAAGAGAAAAAAAATCAAAGGTGAGTTGCGTGAAATACGATAATTAAAATTTTGAGAGACTCCTTTGGTGTAATAAAGATGCTCTTTAGATGATATAATATGGAGAGGAAAAAATCTTTTCACCTTCTTAGGTTCTCTGGCCAGGGCTCTGTAAAATTAGATTGATGAAAGACAGATGACAAGACAAAAATAAACAGAAATTTTATTAGCATGTACATGGAGCTTACACATGGGAGTACTCAGCAGTGAGTGACTCTGAGGGTTGGTTGGAAATCAGACTTTTATAGCATCTTAGCAAAGGAAAACTACATTTTAGAGAAGTGACAAGACAGAGGAAAAGAACTTTGAGTTTTTCAAATTCCTTCAGCTTAAAGTATTTCTTATGTCAAAGTGGTGTATTTTCAGGTGGCATATCCTGATCCCCTTCATAACTCTAAGAGGAAGTCAGTGTTGAGAGCTATTATATATCTGCCCTATATTTTTAAAAAGGGTATAATTCTCTCATATTGTTTGTCTGAAAAGTGATAGATGAACATTTTCCAAAACCTTTTATAACCTTCGTAATTTGTATACTTTGTATACATCTGCCTTTCAGTTTTTTATGTTGAAAGTGGTGGACTGTATCTGTATGTTCATTTTTTGAAAGACCTTAATATATTTACCTCTGCATCTCTAATTTTTGACTTTCACTGGCAAATTCTTGGCACTCAGATATTTATTAAATAAATTACCATTTTGTAAAAATTTGAGTGATGACTCACTATTTTTTCTCATCATTTAACAGGCTTCTGGGACAAAAATATAGTTTTTAAATTGACTATTGAACTACATGTGTTGTATTTAAACAACATTAACAGGTGCGTTTGTATTGATTCTACTTCTCTCATCAGATAAAGGGTCTTTTTACCCACTGATAGATGTAAATTGGTGGGCAGACAACGCGGTGACTTTGGCTCGCTGCTCTGGTGCTTTGACTGTTTCTTCAGTGAAAACTTTGAAGAATTTACTGGGAAAATCCTGTGAATGGTTTGAACCGTCACCTCAAGTCACTGCTACCCATGATGGGGGATTTTTAAGTTTGGAGGTAACGCTTTCCCTTTTAGAACAACCAGTGTGTTTGAAAGTAAACATGTATTTCACTAAAAATCGAAAGATCCAGTTTTTTTTGTTTTTTTGAATTTAGTTATCTACTTTTGGCTTTAAAAACAAAAAGGATTATTAGTTAGTCAACTAAAAAGTTGCGTTGTAAAAGAATGAAGATGATTTATAGTTGTGCTCTTAAGCATTTTTCTTCATTGACATGATGTTTTTATTTTTTCTGTTAGTCATCTTAAAATGTAAAAGGTATTGCTGCCTCAGAAACATAGTCTTTAACCTATTTCTATGAAGTACGATGATTTAAAAATTGTGGATTTTTTAGTAAGTAAAGCTTGTTATGACAGTGGTCTGGAAAGTAGAGGCTAGTAATTTGAAGTTAGGTTTTGGTCATTTAAAATTATTTTAAGTCTGAAGGGTAAAAGACTTCAATAGCTTTCGCTTCATTGTAGATGGACAGGTATTTTACCTCAAAGTTTGTTACTGAGTCTAAAGATGTTATTTAGAGAGAATTATAGCTTAAAATCTAAGCCGACTCTGTTAAGTCTGGAATGAACGTTGTCTTTAACAGTGAGGCTTTCATACTCAGAACTCTGTGAAGCCATTAGGCATTTTTAAAAAGGGGGAAGGTAGGAGAGAGATTCTTGGTAAAGCAAATAAATATGTTCATGTTAATTTTTAAATAGATTTTTTTTTTGAAAAAAACTTACTTTTCCACAGCTGGTATAAAAATATCAAAAGTGAAAAATTAACACTCTCAACTCCTTCATTTCCCTAAAATAATTACCAGGCATATATTTAGGAGATCATATTAATGACTGCTTATTAAAACAGGCTTTAGTTTGGCGACTCGGAGCCAGTAATCTATGTGCGTGTTTCTGGAGCTGTTGATGGCTGTTGTTGAGTTCCTCTGAGGTTCATTGTTAGTCTTAATCACGTGGTCGATGTAATGAATCAGACCAGAGTAGAATTAAAAATTTTTCTCATCACTTCTGCAACTCGTCTTCAGTTTCTCACTATTCATTTAACATCTTTTTCAATTCAGTGCGAGATTAAACTTGCCCCCAAACGATCTCGTTTGGAGACGAGGGGTGGGGAAGACGACAGAGAAGAGGATTCTGATTCTGATCAGGAAATGTCTGCCAAGGCTCGCTACTTTGGTTACGTAAAACAGGGTCTGTACTTAGTGACAGAAATGGAGCGATTCGCACCCCTCCGGAGACGCCCGCGAACCTTTACGAAAAACTATCGCCTTGTGAGTTTGCGCTCCACAACTCCGGAGGAGCTGTACCAGCGGAAGGTGAGAGTGGCGGGTGACCAGCCAAGTTCACGGGCATCCAGATTTTATTTCGTTTTATTGAGAAAAACTAATTTTTTGATAAAGGAAGAAATTTAAAGAGGGATTGTTATATTATTGATACGTTAGAAATATCAGTATTATAAAGCTTTTGAAAATAATACCAATCTTTGTGCCTGAGTAATCCAAATAAACACAGTGGATCAAAGGCGCATTCAGACTGATCAATCACTTTGCGGCTTGGCCCGGGTTTCTGCCACCTTCCCGGGGCCTCCAGCTCCCATCTTGTTTGTGTTTCAGCACCGCTGTCTCCTAGGACGCTGGGGTGGGGGAACACGAGCTTTGTAGTCCGGGCCCTGCTTGGGAGGCAGACTGGGTGAGCACTGAGTATTCTGGCCACTCGTGCTGCTCCTGCAGCCTTGGGGGTACAGCCCTGGACCAGGAGTCAGGCCGTGGGCGCTGCTCATCCTGGTTTTGCCATCATTTTACTCTGTAAACGTGGGCGTTTCACACCTTCTGTCTCTCAGCTTTCTTTCTGTTAAAATGCTAAAAGAAATACTTGCTCTATCTTCTCCTCAAAATGTTTGTGAGCCTCTGATGCCTCAGCGCCCGTGAGAATAGTTGGAATGCATAATGTGCTACGTAGGTTAGGGGGTGTCCATCATTCATCACGCTGTCACGGCGATGCCGTGGACACTTCAGTAATGAATCGTTCCTGTTTCCATTTCCTTGTCCAAAGATCGAAAGTGAAGAGTACGAGGAAGCCTTGTCTCTGGCTCAGACCTATGGCCTGGATACTGACCTCGTGTACCAGAGGCAGTGGAGGAAGTCAGCAGTCAACATTGCTTCAATTCAGAATTACCTGGTATGTTTAAATATTTTGGTAACACAGTGAAATTCAAATTTATGGAATATCTTTTGGTTATAGGGTTTCATGTTAGAGTACTTTATATTGCTGACTTTTCTATAGCTGATGAAATGTGTTTTATATAACATGGAAAATCTTATCCTGTTTTATTGGCTCTGCACCCGGGCTTTGGTGCTGAAGACCAGCACCTGTGAACACTCATAGACTGCCTGCTTTTGGCCTAATCCTTTCTCTTCCTCTGACTCAGTTACTTCTCTTCATCTACAACAGTCAGGGTCCCATCAGGAGCCAGAGACCACACAGTAATTTGAACAGGGAAAGTCTCAGTATCGAGCATTATTTTCTAGTAATGAGAGATTAACTATGAAGGGGAAAGAGAACTCTAAGGCAGGGGTCCCCAATTCCCAGACTTCGGACTGGTACCTGTCCGTGGCCTGTTAGGAACCGGGCCACACAGCAGAAGGTGAGCAGCAGGTGAGCGAAGCTTCATCTTTGTTGGCAGCCGCTCCCAGTGCTAGCATCACTGCCTCAGCTCCACCTCAGATCATCAGGCATTAGATTCTCTTAGGAGCATTGGTCCCTAGTGCCAAAAAGGTTGGAGACCGCTGCTCTAAGGAATTTCTTCAGCCCTCAGGCTGAAGGAGCATCCCTGAGGGGGGGACAGATGTGGAAGGGAGGCCTCCTCCCTGGGCTGGGGTTCAGGAGTGGTTGCAGCACTTTGGATGAAGGGCTGGCGGTAGCCCAGGAGGTTGGGAGGCAGGAAAAGGGTGAGACGGATGGGCGAGCTTGATGCCTGTTACTAGGATACACCAGTGAATGGGGGTCCGAAAACCCCAGAGACTGGTAAGCGGGAACCCCCCGCACCCCCTGCAGAGTGTGTGCAGCTCAAGACTGGTAGATAAGGACCCATGGCCAGGGCTGGAGAGAAAAAACTCCCGCTGGAATGTGTGGGCAATGCCTGGGAGATGCACTGCAGAGGGATCTGCCCCCCTGGGAGTACAGGTGCAGTTTCACGGGGAGTTGTCTTCTCTGGGAGGAAGAGGGGAAGTAAGCGCCCCCAGATGTCCCCTAGGGCTTTGCCAAGCAGAAAGAAGGAGCGTGGAGTAAAGAGCCAGGGCACTGTAGGACTGGAAACCCGGAGCCTCTTCCCCTACAGTGGCCCTCTGGCGCCCTCTGTTGACAAGGCTTGATATTGTGTCAGCTGCAAATGGGAAATTGCTATCTATTCTATCCCATGGCTGTTGTGAAGAGGACTTGAAGCTGAGAGGCTATCGATAGTTAACTGACACACCAAGCTCGCCACTACCCCAGTTTTTCGTTTAAATTCTACAAGTGGATCCCTCCCGCTACCTGCTACCACAGCTAAAGTTATTATGTGGCACGTATATTTTGACCCTTGGCACTTTTGTAAGGAAGTAGTTGGATTTATGGCATGCTTTTAAGAGGGCCTGACTTCTCATCTGACATTTAGAAAGGAAAATACCTTTGCATTTAGGAAGATTCTAAGAAATGTTGGGAAAATGACATGGCATCGTATTCTCTAAAGATTTATGTATATGAGTAGTTAAAAATAAAGAAAAGCATATGTAAAAATTGTATATAAAAAGTTGATGCTTCAACCAAAAAAAAAAAAGATAAATTGTTGATACAAGTAAGACATCAGAGATGAGAAAGCATGAGAGATAATGGGATAAAGGAAGAAGTCAAAGTCGTTTGTATTTTTTTAGAATATCAACACCAACCTGTATTATCTTTCTTCTTTTGTGACTCAGGATAATAAGCTCATGAGTTCATGTATACCCATTTCACGGCTTTATCTGGAACACAGTAAAGGGCAGTTTTGGTCTCTGAAGGAGCTGACAGGTTTCAGGAGAGAAAAAGAAGTACATTTTTTATTGGGAGAATTATTAATTCGTCGAATAAATAGGCAGTTAAGAATAAAAGCACTATGCTAGGGATGGTGAAAGGCTAGAAGAGCTGCTTAAATGGTGTTTGCGTTTTGGGAGCTTATAATTTTACTGAGAAGACAAGCTTCGTTTCTAAGGTATAACTAACCAGACAAGAAGATTCCACATAAATGCTGTGAGAACCCAGTGGGGTAGCCATAATCATAGGCCCAGCGGTTATGGAAAGTTTTATATAGGGAAGATGTTTTGAGCAGGGATTTGAAAGCATTCAAAGTGGGCCTTCTGGAGTTAGAAGACAAGACATTCCTAATGGGACAAACGGCATGAGCGAAGTCAAAGAAAATAAGCGTGAGTCATGAGGCTGAATCTGTGAATCTGTGTTATTCATCGCTGTATCCTCAGGTCTGGTTCAGTGCCTGGCACACAGTAGGCACCAGTAAATATTTCCTGGGTGAGTAAATGAGCTCTGTAAGTTAACCAGTCTGCTGGGTCCGATATTCCACAATAGTGAACGTCGTGAAATACGATTAGAGAGATGTATTCATTTGCGCTCAGGAGGATGTTAAAAGCTCGTGACGACTTAGGCTTTTTACTTTAGGGTAATAGGGAACTGCCGTGGAGTTTTGACTGTGCAGGTGCAGAGGAAGGTGGTGTAGATGATGAACTGGAGTGGAAAG